AAACCGGAGGACAGGCCCGCGTTCCCCCCCTCCCCCGCCTTTGGCCGGGCCCTCAGGTAAAGGGACGGGAGTAGAAAGGGGGGGGGGGAAACAAAGAAAACTGCAGCACTTTTCATCCCTATAAATAAATAAATCTAAAATCTATCTAAATCTAAGGGAATCTACTGTAAGTGGTCTTGAATAAGCCTAACATGAACTTCAGTTGCAATCCTAGCTTCTCAGAAATCAGCTACTTTCCAAACCACAAAACGAAGAACTCATCTAAATTGCAAAGAATTTTATACTAAGCTCAGAATAATCTTTTTTGTGAACTTAGTGGTCCCGAATAACAATTTCCTAGTCCTCCAAAAGGGAAACGTTGCTGATATCGAGGCAAATGGGGTTCCCCCCCCCCCTTTCTACTCCAGTCCCTTTACCTGAGTGCTCGGCCAAAGGCGGAGAAGAGTGGAAACGCTGGCATGTCATCCGGTTTTTTAAAAGCCCAGTAGTACGATGCAAAGGCCCCAGCAAGTGTGACTTGGCCCAAGGCAATGACAAAGTTGGCCAGCCAAAAGAACATGAAAACATTGAAAATCTGAAAGATGATGAGATACTTGTGGTAGGCAGTCTCACCACCATAGAAGGCAAAGAGGCAACGGGCTCCCGGACAGAGCTTGGTGACGTTGGACGTACTGAAGGTCTAAAAGGAGGAAGAAAATGGTCATTTCTTAAAGTTCCATTGAAAATAATGTTGCTTTTCTATTATTTGTCTCTAAGTATATATGCAGGCTTCCAAAAATCCAGGCAGGACAGACATTTTGCCTTGTGAATTTCCAGAATTTGGCTTCTAGAATGTCCAGAATGTGGCAATTACTAATACATTATATAACTAGAGAAATTGTTCCTTTTCTTTTGCCTTTCTAAAGTAATTTAGAATAATGAACAGGACATAGAGCTAATTCTCCTATAAAGTCACGTTGACGCTTGCTAAAGGAAAATAGGGCACCCTTGGGTCCCTTCCCTTGGGAGAAAGAACAAGCATTTTCTGGAATAGGAGGGAAACCTGCTTGACTCAGAGGAAGGAGGGAGCCTCATCCGTGGCCCTTGCAAGATCTGTCACACATTCAGCAGGAAGTGGGCTGCTATATTTTTCTGGTTTCTAAGCAGCTTGACTGAATATATTTTCACTAGTTAGTTATTTTAAGTTCCTTACCTCTGGTTTGCAAGTTGTTCCAGCATATTGGCATTCTGTATCATTAAATACCTTGTAGACAGCTTCGTTAGAGGTAGACAAGAAACTAGAAGCAGTCAAGGAACTCTTCGGTATAGAAATAAAAATGGGACTTTTGCTTGCCTGAGATGAACATCTGAGGACTGTTTGGTGTTATAGCTACCCATCCCTTTTACCCAGCAAAGAACGAACAACTGAGGAAGGATACACGGCAGTACTAGCCCAGTAAGCAATGCAGAGACACACCAGGAAGAAAGTACACAGCGGAAACAGAAGGGACGTCATGATGTATCCAATAGCCCTGCAAAAGGGGTGGGAAACGGGGGGAAAGAAAAAGCGCATGATTCCGTTCCAGGGCCTTCGTTCCGCCAGCCACAATAAAGCTTCTTCTTTGGCCCCATTGGGACTTGGTTTCACTTATATTCATCTATAGCATATAGCCAC